GGGCATTACATAAAATTGATGGCAAGATGATAGTGGGGGCTCAAAGTAAAATTACCTAATTAACAGAGGGGGGCCCTTAAGTTTCATTCAAAATTTTCATAATTTTAGATATCTCTCAAAATGCTGGAAATCGCATTTCCAAGAGTTATTTCTTTCACATTTTGAAAAAAATTTTCAAAATTTTCTGGGGGAGGGCCAGACTCCCTTAATACTCTCGCCTTTGGCGTTCGTTAGACCTCCAGATCCAAAATATATGTCGTGGTCCCTGACATGTGCATAAAAAGTCCACGCTACGCGCCTGACTAATGGCAATCTAAAGTCAAAGACTCGTTGATGCGTAATTGAAATTGACCAAAATATGAATGAATTTTTTTCAACTATTGATTTTTTCAATTAATTTTGTCACATAAATTGAGGATGTAGTTTTCACATAAATTGAAGATGTAGAAGCTGAAAAACATMTBGATGRTTTATTRGACRTAAMAARCACAAGTAATATCAAAGTCGTTTTTGACCATAAAAACGTTACGTAAGCCTCTTTTGGACCTTGAAAACCGTTGCCAGGAACAAAAATATTTGAAAGAAGCAAGGGCACCACATTTGCTGGTCAGCTCCTCCTGAAAGTTTTTGTCTTTACACTTAGATCCAGGTGAGTAAGCCACCTCTTGCATCTGGGTTCGTCTTTAGTAAATCTTGCGTTGCTACAGTTGACTCGACTCGCTTGTGCTTGCTTTATAACTAAGGTTAATAGTTGAGGGGGGAGGGGGGAGGGTCGACGTTATTTTTAATATACCAGAGGGGGGGTTCTAACTAATTTTCTGCTTAAGAAATCTGGTTTTACGGCCCCCCCCTCCTAATAATTATTGCACAGTCCCTTACATTGTCAGAAGTTGTATTAATTACCTGATGCAATTCGGCCGACATCGATATGGAAGTTGTTTGTAAAGTTTCATCATGAAATATCCACTTCAATATAAATDTYTGGTTCTTTCAATTTTGAATAACACACCAGGACTTTTGTCGTAGGTCGTGCCCAGAACAAATAAACAACTGGAYGAAGCCTTGTTYMTAGAACTCTCAGATTTTATTTAAATCAAGTCAATGAAACTTGCGTGGCATACATTTCTAGCTCATTGTTTTAAGGGCGTGTGCAAAAATGTTGATATGTTGAAACGTCGCACAGTTTTAGTCATAATGTCGGAAATAAACTTCTCCAAAAGCCAGAACTTTCAATGTATTTTCTCCATCTCTCGAGCAAATAAAAACAATTAKAAAGTGTAAKACTTTCGACCAAGAATTCGGATTAAGCTTCAATCGAAAGGTTTTTCTATTTTTTTCTAGAGTTCAATATGTCGGACCCACTGGTTTAAAACTATTTCTCGAAAAACCGGGGACGTGCCCAGAGCGGAAACCTACCTAAATTAAAATCTTATGTAATTCTAAAAAGAATAGAAGTATAATTTCGCCTTTGAAAATTGCGTGGATATCTCAAATAAACGTACAGAAACGTGTGAATTTTAGTAAAAATTTCCACCTTCGAGTATTTATGACGAAACAAGTTCTTAAACTTACCCTGAATTGGACTATTTTTACACAGTTTCATCTACATACAAAACATCTTCTTTGATTATTCATGGGAAGAGTAAAACACACGCAAATGAATACAAAAGAGAGGACACCAGCTCTCAACATAGCCATGTTTACTTACATTTACATTTTCAAAGTTTCCCGCCGAACACAGGTATACCGCGCGTTATGTATTCTATTTKACTCACGCATGCGCAGACAAATGTCCCTGTTGTTCTCCCGGACATATAAATTTTTCGTGTGTGCCAAGTGCCAAGTCGATTGTATACTATGCCGAGCGGCGAAGAAGCTTTTTAAAATTGTCAACTGAATTTGGTCAAAAGGAAGACTATCTACACCTAAATACAGTAAAGTATCTTTTGATTAGACTGGATTTACATTCTACTGTGATTTTGGTGAATTATTTTGTCAATTTTATGTTATACTAGACGCTCTTAGAGCGCCTACATCGAGTTTAATGTAATTAGGTCAATATATTGATTGATTTCAGTATATCGTGATACGACGGAATAAGAGTGACGGCACTTCGCAACTTCAATTCCAACTCACGAAGACGATGGTGATAGCAACTGAGCTGGCTTATATATATAAATGTTCATTATTTACTTTTAATCTATCTCAATTTTAACATTAAAAAGCCCTTCTATGAGCAGGTAGAAGTGCTGCAGATCCTCGGCGTCCAGGAATTCGATATTAACTAAGTCCTTCTTTTCAAAGAATGTTACAATGTTGGATAGTTTGCTGGGCCGCCTGTTTTCAGTTGGCTTCGATGCCCAGTTTTTAATAGTCTTGCGTACGTATTTCCCGGGCAGCACACCTCGCAATCCTAAAGAAGTGAAATCCTACATAAGATATGGTTGGGTTACCATTTGAACCCCAAGGGGTGGGTTGTCTGTGTTACGACCCGTTATTACAAAACGTCTTTACGAATCTGCGCTTGCGCATTCTTTAGTATGTTTCCGGTTGTCAAAAAAAAAAAAAAAAAAAGAATGTTAGCTGGGTTTCATCTCTATCTAACATGTGATAATGATCAATACTAGCCTTTTAAGTAAACCACTTTTCCCGTCAATTTCGATGGCTTGGTACATTGATCACCTTTACAAAATATCATGGCATTCTTCTCCTCGTCAAAAAACAGCTTACCCATCACACTTTTGTCTACAGCAAGAATGTTTAAATTGCACCAAAGATTAGTAAGAAAGATGTGGCATCATGTTCATGAAGGTCTTACTATTGCTACAGGTAAGTACATACATTCAGGTAGATACATTCAGGTAGATAGATACGTGTGGCTGTACTATACCTTTTTTCGGATGAAGTGTGACTCCAACTCCCTTCTTTAAGTGATTTGAGGCTCTTTGTTGTATAAACGTCATGTTAACGTGACACAATTCAGGGAAAAGCAAGCGATATTTCATGGCAAGTGCTGTCGCTGTTATACCACCCGTCACCTGTGCAAATGGAAGCTCACTAAGAGTGAAGTGATTTCCTGGACATGCCAGTACATCCATTGGACCAGGAAGAGTTTCTTTCCAGCTTTTCTCGACAGTTCCCATTAAAGGACTCTTTGGAGCAAATTTTTTATCTTGGCATCCGATGTACGTCACGTGACCAGTAAAAGGCTCCTGAGAAATCATATTAAATGTGTGACTAGTGATTCTAAAAAAATATTGGATGARGACATATAACTTCAACTTACGGCTGGAGGCTCCCATTCCTCGTGACATCGAGTTGCAATCTCGTGATCATGTAGCAGAGTATCCCGTAATGCATTTAGATCGTAAACCGGAATGTTTCTCTCCTTACTCCTGCTTTCTAGGACTTTAATCAGGTCTTCAAGAGAATTTTCCGATTTCATCTGTTCAAATTCATGGACAGGAATTCTCAGTGTTTGCAAAGCAACCTTTTCAAGATACGTATCAAATTGCCACTACAATGAAGAAGGCAAAAACTGATTAATGCGGTGAAGTTTCATTTGCGTTTTTATCTGATATTGCCACTGTCACTTACCTGAATTTGCTGTATTGGAGAAAAATTGTTAGTGAACCACGCTTTAAAACGATTGTAACCTCCAGCGTTCCACGGAAATGTGTCAATCATGCACACGAACTCGACTCTTTCATCGCGTTCTTGAAGAATACTTGCCATTTCATAGGCAACAAGACCCCCAAAGGAGTATCCTCCAAGGAAGAATGGACCATGAAACTGTTCTTGTCGGATGAGATCAACGTAGTGTTCAGCCATCTCACGAACACTTCTCCAGTTGCGTCCCTCAGCTGTGTAAATTGGTTCCTTGTATCCAATCGCGTAAAATGACACCAAAGTCTATACATGAAGAAAAACAACTGTTTTCAAGTGTGTCATGATATAACGAGTAAGGTCTCCCGCGCTGTCACATGCGCGCGTTTTCTTTTGCGGAACTATTATATTCTCTGCATCAAATACTTTATTTTAGGAAGTAAATCAACATGCGAAATGGAATAATACAGTGTGGACGGGGCTTAATAACATCGTGGTGTCTTTGCCCTATAAAGTATAGAGGCTTTCATAAAATACCTGAATTTGAAAGCCTGCTGCAATTGATGCTAGGCTCAATGCATAACAATGTGATGGATGAACACAAAAGAATTTGATCTCCGCGTTTTCTGGGTTGTATAATGGTAAAACTTCACACGTTAACTTTGTATTCTGATAGTCATCGACTGGTGTTGCTGAATTCATTTGGCGCAGTTTGCTTTTTTTGTCTTCCTAATAATAACGCAAAAGATATTCATCAGTAAATGCCAATAATGGTCTACTGCTCTATTTCATATATTACATATGATTTTCCCTTAAAATATCTGCCTATTGTTTCCTGATGCAGAAAATAAAGTACCTGCGATTGAGATTGTGAATTTTGCTCATTTTCTTTTGGAGTGTTTTCTGTTTCAAACCACTTCTTAATGTCTTGTGCAATTCTAGCAGGGGTGGTTTCGGGCTGCATAAAGTAAAATACCTAAATGTGGTAATTAACAAAACAGCATATCAATATTTTGTGGATAAAGTTCCTTAGGGCTAGTGTGACGTATGACCTACCTCAAATGATATTCTCAAATTAGATTCTATTGTCATTTTCAATGACAATGCCGCTGTCGAATCAATGCCATAATTGTACAGGGTAGTGTTAATATCGATATCAGACGTGGAATTCACTTCCGTCCAGACAGACATCAAATTAAGGACAAATTCATCAATCATTGCAGCTCGTTTGGTTGCATCTCTTTCAAAAGGAATGCTAGAACCAAGAGACCTTAGCCCAGACACTACATTTCCTTTCTTCTTTTCAACTCGGAGATGTTCCATACGAATTGACGTCGTCAGGTGTGCGTTGCTTGCCAAAAACGTGCCCCAGTCCATGTCAAACAATCCAATCTGTGATCTTTTGGGTTGGGAACTTGATATTTTTGACATCAGTTTTGGTCCTAAAAATAGTAAAAAGAAGAAAATCATGTGAAACGGAAAACCATGTACCAGCAGTGTTGATAAGAAAGAACTCAATAATGAGCAACCTTAAATCATCGTTATCTTTATGACTCTCTACCTTCAGATGCTGGTATTAAGACCATTCCAGCACTCGACAGTAGCTTAGCAACATTACTTTGTCGCGTGAGTACACCTGCTCCTGCAATTGGTCCCCAGTTGATTGACAAGCCAGGTAAACCCAGGGTATGACGTCGATATGCAGCTAAGCCATCAAGGAAGGCGTTTGCAGCGGAATACGAAGCTTGCGACACATTGCCTATCATTGAAGCTACTGAAGAAAACATTATGAAGAAGTCCAAATCCATGTTCAGGCTGAGTTTATGCAGCAAATATCCTCCTGTAAAGGTAATGAAAATGAAACCAGTTTTAGTCATGACAAGGTGTTAATTGAAAAAGACTTAATTAAATGGTAACAACAATAAGAAATCCGTGCAGACCTTTGATTTTGGGGTCCATGACGTCATTGAAGCTGTCTATATCCATGTCTTTTATTGTGCTATCCCTCAGCACCATGGCTGTGTGCACGATGCCGGCCACACTAGGGAGATTCTCGAGACGTTTTCGCAGAGTTTCCATATCATCTTCACGTGATACATCTGATTGAAATATTAAGACCACAGCTCCTGTAGCTGATTGAAGTTCTTCAACCTCTTTCAGTTTTTCTTGTGTAGCTGTCGAGCGAGATAGCAAGACTACTGTATGTGCTCCATGAGCACARATCCAGCGAGCAACCTCAAAACCAAATCCTCGAACACCTCCCGCAACGATGTAGGTGCGGTTTCCCTTCAGGCCAAAGTTATCCATACTAGCTGGAAGCATTTTCGGATTACTTTTGATTTGTCCCACCTTGTATATTCTAAATGTTCCATTTTTCGTCTTTTGATTTCTGTTATTCCACTCTTCAATGGCTTCCATCATATCTATGGGAACCAAAGAAGCATCAYCTATTATGCCACTGGACATAATGAAAGAGCTATGCTTAATCCATATTTCAGGAAACTCAGCAGCTTTGCCAAGAAAGTCTTCTGGATAGAGTCGTTCATATCTGATACGTTTGTGCACAGGCAAGGCAATGTTCCCTTCGACTTCACCATAGGAAAAGGCAAGAGTTGCTTTTTTCTTCATCAGACGGTAACTTGCTTGAAGTGATCCTGGATGAGGCGAGGATGTATAAACTACAGCATCAAAAAACCCTTCGTAGTTATCTTCAGCCTCTAGGCAAGACAAATCAAATATCTTTTGGACACCAATATTGAGCAGCCGTGGGTTCTTAGTGACACTGTATCCACCCGTTGCAGTGCACCAGACTTGATGCCCTTTTACCATTGCTACTTTGGCGACAGCAAAGCCGAGGGTTTTATCGACTTCGTGGACAAGTATTCTTGAACAACTCTGATTAAGTGTTGATGAACGAACAATTTCCAAAGCCACTGTAAATGCCGAAGGGAGAAGAACAGATTGTTTAAGACTCATCTCTGAGGGCTTCTTGATCAGTTCTTTATCATGTCTTCTGAGCATTTTACCAATACGGCAGCCTTTTGTAATTCCGAACACTTCTTCTCCAGGTGTAAAGAAATTGCTCTTCGAATTGGTGACTTTTCCACTGAAACTAACTGGGCTGGTATTATTAGCAATTGCAGATACATCATCCTCTATGGGAAAGAGGTAAGAAACTTCCACGTCGACTTCATCTTCGAGCAACTTTGAATATGTCTCTCTTCTGAGAAACATATTTGAAGTACCAGGATCCTGCTCAACATAAAATGCTATTTCCTTTACTTGGTCATTACCATCATCTACGTCGTCCAGAGCTCGAGATTCATGATATTCTAGATTAATKTCTCCGGCAATTGTATCATTGAAAACAGTGGACGTGGATTCAATTCTGTTAGTGAATGTAGAATTTCCACGAATTGCCAGTTCTTCTTCATTTTGGGATGAGCCAAAATGATCAGCAAGCAATTCTATTTCTTGCTGTGCTATTACAGGGCTGAGATCTATTGTTCTTATTGAAGTACCTGGATATTCCATTGATGCTGTTCTTCTTAAACCCCAGATTGAAGATGACCATGGAATCGCAGCTTTGGTAGGGAAATTCTGTTCTTTTATATGAACAATTCCTTGGGTGACAAATGTGACTTGTATCGTCCCTTCCATGCCGGTTAAGGTACCAACGAGCCTTAATATGTATATTGAACTCTTGAAAGTGATGTTTTGTGCTTGATTTATAGATGCAGTATCTTCAGGGACGAGATCTGCCTCAATAGGCCAGAAGCTCACAATATTGAGGCTCTTTTTGCTCTCTTCACACCTTTGTGCTGCAAGGGTCAGTACCTTCTCAATGTTCTCTCCATCCTCTGATGCGCAGTCCCTTGAATCAGGAAACTGCACACGAAATACTTCAACTCCACGTTTCTCCAGGACTTCACAGTAATAAGCTGACGCTTGACTGGTATCCATCAAAACTACGCCGATTTGGTCTTCATAAACCACAGTAGTGAGAGATTCAAAAGGATTCCACGTGATTTCATAGGCTAGGTTGCCGTCTGCATTGGAAGTACTTTTTTGTACATTTTCCAGCACTGCAACTTCATATTCTTTAAGCTTCAAAACTGTATCTCCATCCATGGTCATAAGTGAAACATCGAAGCAAGTGCGGCTTGAATTTCTCACAACATGGCACACGGTGTTCTTATCTGCCAAGTGCCGGTTCAAATGTATGCGTTTAAAGCCAACAGGTACGATGTTCGAAGCATTTGGTATATCTGGTACTGTTGCAAAACACGATTGAAGACAAGCATCAAGAACAGAAGGGTGAACGAAGTACTTATTGAGTTCATCTTCAGCATCCTGAACTTTAAAGGCTTCACTTTCCATGGTTATGAGCAGAAGTGCTTCATCTTTAGATTTCCAAATTTTCCTAATTAGGGAAAATCGTGGTCCATAGGCGAAACCACATGTTTTGACAATATGATGGAATTCTTCCATAGGCATCACTTCCATTACTTCTTGGAAATGTGCTATCTTAAGGGCAATACCAATGTTATCCCTTGCAGAAGTCGACGTTGTTCCTAATAAACAAAAATTAACTTTGAATATCTTCAATTCGATCTCCTCGATGCACAACATCTTAAAAAAGCTATCTATCACAGCAAAAGCATTACAGTTTCAATTCTTACCTTGTGCTTTCTTGTCAATTGCGGCTTCAAATGATATATCTCCACTGCAAAGTTTCAATTCACTTTCATCTTGCTGGACTGTTGTAATGATAAATTCTGCAAGCGGGTATTTCTCGGTATGAAGACGGAGCCTAAGGTATCTAACCTGACTGTCGCCTAAAGTAAGGACATTTGTCAGCTTGACGTTATGTAGCTCTATATTATCCCTCGGATACCGATCTTTAGCCATCGCTAGTGCCATTTCAATGTAAACAGCACCTGGCATAATAGCACCACCTTGTGCCAAGGCATGGTCTTCCAGGTATTGGTGTTTATAAAGATCTATCTCTACACTCCAACATGAAATCCCAGTAAACTGCTGAGTAGTGAGAGTCTTACCAAGGAAAGGATGCGGAGCCTTGTAGGATTCTTGTCTGTTACCTAATGATGACTGCAATGGACGTACAGTTTCCTCTGTGGCATGTTTWTTGAACCAGTACTCTTTTTCCTGCCAAGGGTACAACGGGGTGCGCACAAACGAATATGGAGCTGTTCCACGGATGAGATGCCACTGAATAGGATATCCAATAACATTTAAACTACAAACGGTGTTTTGAACAAATGATTTATGCTGCTCTTTCACTGTTTTGCGAGGTAAAGTTGCAAAGACTACGGGTATATTGTCATCGCTGAGACTTTCTTGTGTTGCGATTTGTTTGATATAATGGGCAAGAGTAGGCTGCACGCTAATTTCTACAATTCTCTTACATCCATTGCCAAGAGCACTTATGATAGCTTGATGGAATTGCACAGGATTTCTGATATTACGCCACCAGTAAGAAGAATCCAATTCCCTCCCCAGAACTGTTCGTCCTTCCACTGTGGAATAGAAAGGGACAGATGGTTCCTTTGGTCTTATCTTTTCCTTTTGAACAGTCATTTTAAACTCTTTCTCGATTGGTGCTACGTGACTACTATGAAAGGCTCGAGGGGTGTTAAGGACTCGCCAAAAAACCTTTATGTTATTCATTGACAGGTAATCGCCAAAACAATCAATAGACGTCTTATCTCCTGATAATGTTACACTGTTGGCATCATTGTAGGCTGCTATGCTGACAGAAGCCTCAAGCTTCAGCTCCTCTAATAAATGTCGGGCTTTGGCTGCCGGCATTCCAAGTGCTGCCATGCTTCCATTTTGTGGGCATCGGGACTGCAGTTTTGCTCGAATCAAGACTAATTTGAGACATTCCTTGAGCGATAGTGCCCCAGCAGTGCACGCGGCTGCATATTCTCCAAGACTATGACCGACTACAGCTGAAGGGTGAATTCCCCATGATTTCAATAACTTTGCAATTGCAAATTGCACTGAAAACGTAGCAATCTGCCCGATGACCAACTCATTGACTTTGGAGTTTTCTTCTGTTGCCATTAGCTCGTCTTTCAGACTCCACTTTTCTCCAAGCTTGTGCAGCACGTTATCGATTTGCGATATGGTATCCTTGAAAGTTGCTTCCTTCACGTACAACTCTCTTCCCATTCCATACCACTGAGCACCTTGACCACCAAACATGAACAAGACCTTTTGCTTTTCACTATTAGACTCCCCGACGCTAACTAACTTCTCCCATCCTTGCTGACCATTGGAGAATGATTCTAATAAATTTGCTGCCTCATCGAATGAGTTAAAGGCCACTGCTAAACGATGAGAATGTGCAGTGCGGCGCTCATTCAGCGAAAAACAGATATCTCTCGGTTTTTTGGAAGCCCCTTCGGAGCTTAGAAGCCATTGTGCGTTTGTATGCGCACTYTCCTTGAGAGCATCACGTGACCGCGCTGATAATGTCAGAATGTTGATGCCGCTGCCATAGGTTTGATGCAATTCATTCGAATCGTAACTCGGTYGTACGACCTCACGAAGAATCACGTGAGCATTCGACCCGCCAAAACCAAAAGAATTAACAGCTCCTATTCTGGGATTTCCATTATTGYTTTCCCAGGGCTCCAAGGTTTCCTGGACAACCATTCTCTTTTCCTGGAGTTTGAGTTTAGGATTTAGATTGTGGATATTGATCGTGGGGACTAATGCTTTGTTTTTTAGCATTAGAGCGAGCTTCATCAGCCCAGCAAGACCTGCAGTAGACTCCGTATGGTTCAAATTTGACTTTACAGAGCCTAGTAGAAGAACYCTTTCTTTAAAGCCATAAACATTTGCAATGGAAGACGTTTCTACGACATCCCCAACAGCGGTCCCAGTTCCATGAGCTTCAACGTAGCTAACATCACTTGCTGTAACCCCTGATCTGTTTAACACTCTTTGAAATAATTCTGTTTGTCCATGGACACTTGGAGCAGTCATAGGAATGGCAGATGCCCCATCGTTGTTCATTCCACAGGCGATTACATCACAGTAGATATCATTTTTGTCGCCTTCAGCGTCTTCAGACAGCTTTATAACAATAGCTGCGACGCCTTCGCCTCTCCCATAGCCATCTCCTGAAGAGTCGAAACTTTTGCATTTTCCATCCGGAGCTAGAAGGCCAGCCATGCCAGTAGAAACTTGATTTGCAATACTCAAAAGGACGTTGGTACCACATACCAATGCAACATTACAATTACCGTTCCTCAAGCTTTCTGCAGCTAAATTTAATGCAATTAACGATGAAGAGCAGGCAGTGTCGATAGTCATACTTGGACCATTGAAATTAAAGCAAAATGAAATCCTATTTGAAGCAATGCACGCTGAAGCACCAGTTGATCGGAATTGGTCTGTTTTAGGTAATTCCTTATCACGCGTTAGTAAGTGACCGAAATCTGAATTCATCAGGCCTACAAATACGCCCGTTTGGCATGTCTGGAGATCTTCAAGTCTCATTCCAGCATCTTCGATTGCTTCATACGCAACTTGCAAAAGTATCCTCTGTTGTGGGTCCATTGTATTTGCTTCTTGGGAAGAAATATTGAAAAAATCAGCATCAAACCCTTTGATATTTCCCAGGTAACTGCCGCCCATGGTGCAAATTCGTCCAGGTACAAAACGCTTGGGATGGTAGCGTTCTTTGAATTCTTTGAACTCTTCAGGTCGGTTCTCTGGAAATGTTGAAACTGTACAACGTCCTTTTGTAAGCATATCCCAAAATTCGTCTTTGTTGGAGGCACTAGGAAACCGACATGCCATACCAATGATACTTATACAAGGAAATTTTGGAGCCTCGCTTGAATTTGTTTGCATTTCCAATACTGTATTTCTCTTGCGTCGCTGCCCTCGGTGAATTATAAACGAGTTCAGTGGAACAGAAGAATGTCCAAAGCGTTTGGTAAACTTGTTTCCATATGATGTCAGCAGAAAGGGCAACAGTATCAAAGCATTAAGCAATCCAAAAGTGATTATTATAGGACCAACTTTTATGAAAAGTACCGAAAGACTGGGAAACGCAAATCCTAAAGCAACAGATATCAACAGAGACAACAAAGAGCCAAGAAAAATAGGCGACGCAGCTGAATATACCGCATCAAATACACGATCTTTTGCGGTGACCTTTGTAGATATAATAAAGGAATTGGATAAGTAAAGGCATGAATTAAATGTCAAAGTGAAAATCAAGAATAAACAAGTAAATGAGAGCTGGTTTAAAGAAACTTCAAGAAGAAATGTCGCAGTGATAGTTTCGCAGGAAAGTAACACAAACATGAAAAGTAAGACAAATGGCGTCCTYAAGCTTGCTGTSATGATAAGGGACAGCACTACCAGGGTTATTGCCAGTGCGATGCACACATACAAGGTTTCGTAGAGGAATAGCTCCAAATCCTTCACGCCGATAAAGACTTTAGACGTGACTAYTGCGTTTTTTCTAAATTTGGATGACTTTTCCACTTCTTTTAGGAATGATTCGACTGTTGGTTTATCACTCAGAATGTTCTCTGTAAATCGATTATAAAACTGGAAGCGTGAAGCATGTATACGTGAATCCTCAAATTCTAAATCACTTTCAAGAGGACTGGTTATTGTGTTGTTCAGGAAGTGTCCGATACAAATGTAAAATGTACAGTTTTTGGTGTGAAGCTTTTTCCATCTCTCAAAAGTAGCTAACCAGTTTCCTGTCAACGTGTTTATATTTAAACTGTTTTCCAGCTGGTTGTTGAAGTCAGTCAAATCGGTTCTTGTAGAAGGACGTGTGTAATTAACTCCTTTGAAAACAACTGATATATCGTCTTCCAAAATCTYGATTCTCCTTTCCTCTAAACTGTTCAGTACATCTGATTCTTTGATAAACGTATCCACAGGGTTAAACCGTCCAGGCTTTGTTGCAAAGACATAAGTAATAAAAGCAATAATGCCTACTATTACCAATGTAAAAAGTACTTTTGCTGGGATTGTTTTCAAAAAGTTCACCCAAGACTTCATGAATCTTTTGTACTCATGACGTCGTGATTTTTGTTTAGATAAACAGCGAAACAAAGTATCTTTTTCTGTACATTTGCGAGTAATCAAAAGGATAGCACCAAAGAACAAGAAAAGTGTGGTAATGTAAGTTGCTATAACAGTGAGAAGCGTTAGCGCCAGTACATGAGAGATGCCTCTGAAGGAAGACCAAATTGGAATACCAAAAAGAAGAATATTGCTCACAAAAGTGGTTGTTACAACCATGCCTCCTTCGCTTAGACTRACAGTTGCGCGCCGTTTTGCAGAAGGTAAATGAGCAGTTTTATCGAATGCTTTTACAAGCAATAGCGAGTCAATGAAAGCCTTTGGGAACAATAGACAAGGTACAAGAAAGAGTATCTCGTTAAAAAGTAGTCCTAAAAGGTTGTAAATGGAAAATGCACAAACCATGCCAACCAGAGTGGATACCAGAAAAAGAGGAAAGACAACAAGAGATGTGAGACACCGAGGTATGATCACGGTAAAGAAAAACCCCACAATGAGGAACACAGGAAGGGAGTAAAGTACAGGTGTAGATTGAAGAAGTAGCACTTCCCATAMTTTGTCCTCAGCATTACTGGTTTCAAGGATGTCAAGATCAACACACTGCAGCCGTTTCTTCTCTTCCTTCAAATGCAACGTCATGTTCTTAATCCAGCTCTTGATTTTAGTTCTTGCTTGATTGTTGTCTGGCTTTTGAATAAAGTATGTCGAGACAACCCCTCCAACGAAGATRTTCTGTTTCAAAGAAATGTTGTAGAAAAAGAGGGCTTCGTGGTAGCGGAAAACTCTTCCAAAAGCCTGTTCGGATTGATTCTTGTTAAATCCGGTAACAATTTCAAAGTCTTTCTGATTCAGTCCTTGAAGTAACAGAGGATTATATGTCATACAGCTTTCGTCTTTAATTCCAGATGTGATACAATTTTGTTTGTAAAAACTGTCATTAGTGATCATGCTATGGATCCAGGCTATATCATTCAAACACCCAGCGCTGACAACGCTGTCTCCAGACTTTGATTTTATGTTGATATAAACTTTCCACGAATCTATGGATGGAAATGCTTTTCTCGCGTCATGATGGTCTCTGTTCCACTGCGTACTTTCAGATTGATAGAGATCAGGGGGGCGTAAAATGTTGGGCTTTCTTAAGAACCCAAGACATAGTGCTCCGCACAGAAGAAACGAAAGGACAAAAGATATAAGTCCTTTTCTAGTAAATAACTCCGCAACTCTGTGAAGTGAATATTCAATGCATATATGAAAAAGATGGGCGAGTAAAAGCAATCTTGTTACAGCGACATGCTTGTTTGTGGTCTTTTTGGCGACAGCCCTAGATGGAGAAAAGTAATAAAGATTGGTAATAGAGCTTAGCCTGGTATAATTATTTGATTGAAATGTCAAAATACAGATCATTTGATGAAATGTTGGCCTGAAGTCCCGCCTGAAAGCAGTATCACTGTTGTTGTATGTTACGCAATTATGAAAAATAAACTGAATATCAAATACCTCGGCGTTGAAACTTCTTCCGCGTCTTTGTCTCTTGGAGCCAATTCCAGGTCCATCTTTAAATTTTGAAGCTTGATTTATATGACCTTTGTAACCAGGGTGCAATTTGATTTTATATTCAGAATTTACAACAAAGCTTCAACAATTATTTTACGAACTATATCTAACATTAGAAAAAGTATGGTAACAAAAGGTCTTTACACTTTTGTATTTTGATTGCATTTTTGAGTTGCTCTCGGTTGGCTCCTGTGAAGCCATACGTTACGAAAGAGGACTAGTGCGGTCGAAATTGAAAAACCTAGCGCTTTACGTTTTCTTGGGTTACACGAAGGGTGGACAAATCCATCCACCGCATTGATTTGTATGGATTTATTATTAAGACCCAAATATAAAAAANNTGAAAATGACATTTACGATAAAAGTAAAGATGTATTTCAACGGTTAATCCCTAAATTTGCTGATTATGAAAGTAAAAATACCATTCTGAGGGCTTTATTTTGTACATCACATTGAGCTTGAAATTTGTGTTTTGAGGCACCGAAGAAAGTGACTGCTCTTAAAAATCAGGAAAACTGAGAATCCAAAAACCAAATGGTCTTTAATGATCAGTAACCCAAAGAGTATTAGTGCATGGAATATCATGAGAATCGGTGAGGTAGCCTTGCCAAGTGATTCTTGATGCTTACAGAAAATTGCTCTTAATGCACAACGCTGAATCTTAATTGAGAACTTATCCTTCAGCAGCATGTTAGTAGGAGAGTAATAATATAGCAAATGCGACCAGATACTGCTGTTAGATGGTAAAGACTTAACTTAATATGAAGTCGAGCTTTCGCTGTTCCAAAGCATCAACAGGACTGAAAGAATTCAGAAAAACAGAATATAGCTTTAATGTGCAAAAGCCTATTGTGCTAATATGATAGAGTTATTTATAGAAGAATGTTAAAATAATAGATCGCTAAGTTCTTTGTATTCATCTCGGGAATTGATTGATGGTTTGCGAGCTTTAATGTACAGGGCTTCTAGCAGTCGTAAGGTAACGGGATCTTGCTCTATGGTGATGATGTTCACGTAGATGAAGTTATTTTTGCAAATATTCAGGTGGCTTTTTGCAGACGAATTTTCGTTGCTCATGTGTTCTCTTGCGCGTAGTTCGTGTAGGTAACGAATGGTACTGCCAATGTATTTTGAGTGACATTTTGGGCACGTGATCTCATAGACAACCCCTCTCTGGATTACGACGAGACTTTCCCCGATTGGTTGTACTTCAGTATCCCCTACGTTAGCGACTCGTTTAACAACAAGCTCAGAAAAAATCTTTTTGAATGAAGGACTCAATGTAAGAATCACTCACAAATCCCGCACAATGCATAACGCCCTCAAGCCGACATCCGCCCTCAAGGAATGCAAGCTAACCAGGTGCCCTATCAAAGACCCTACGAAATGTTTCCAATGAGGGGTTGTCTATGAGATCACGTTCCCAAAATGTCTTTCAAAATACATTGGCAGTACCATTCGTTACCTACACGAACTACGCGCAAGAGAACACATGAGCAACGAAAATTCGTCTGCAAAAAGCCACCTGAATATTTGCAAAAATATATCACTGCGTGAGAAATTGAATTTCCGAAATTTWCTGACGTAGTAAATATAATAGTAAATTCAAAGTTTAAAAATTTAAGTGCGTTTAATTCACGTAAATTCAGTATTTCAAATTTCCGTTTATTAAATGTAACGTAAATTCGATATTTAATACGGATTTTCGTATCTTGAAATTACTAGTAAACTTAAACGTAAATCCCATGCAAATTGCTAGAAAATGTTAAGTAAATTCTTGTATTCCTCGGGTTCTAGTTTGTACTAATTTGTGGTTTTGTCGGCTTTTACGAATACGTGATGGTCTGTTTGGATGCCTTGTTTTAGCTTTGTTTGCAGGTCGTTAAGATTGGTATATCACTGGTATATGGCTTAAATTCAATAGACTGTATAATGTTCAGCATTGAATCTTCAACTTCAATCAATTCCTTTATCTGAGGTGCAGATCGTCGTGACTTGAAGCCGTAGTTTTCTTTAGTCAACAACAAAAACAAATTATTACAAACCAGAACCCGAGGAATACTATGTACTTATTGACTGAGTGGGAGGGCCGTACGGGAAAATATTTGGCTCGAGGTTATGCCGTACGGACCGAGCGCAGCGAGGTCCGTACAAATGACCGAGAGCCAAATATTTTCCCGTACGGCCCGACCTAACTCAGTYAATAAGCATTTTATCATATGACAGCGTTTTTTAATGTAAAAAAATAAATAAAAGCGCGCGGAACTTCAAGCCGGGAAAATACGGGTTTGTACGGACCTGTCGCGAAAAGGCGTACGGACCCCATCACGTGACCATTTTCCAAAGGTTTTAGTGAGAGCGCGCGTAGGGCCGAAATACGGGTCATATGATAAAAGAATTTACTTAACAAAAGCGTGACGAAATCATACAAGAAGACAAATGACAAAACCAAACAAGACGTGATAACTAAAGACAAGGAAATAGCAACAAGACTAAAACTCGACGACAGAATTGAAGTAACAGCAAGTAAAGAGCCATTTATAACCCTGAAAAACCGACCTGCAGACTAATAAATCCAACAAAATCAGAAACAGGAATAATCAGCAAGCAAATTTTGGACAGAATCAACAAGTCTATAATACAGGCTACGAAAGTTAATCTCTGGCGAAGCACTAACGACACTATTGAATGGTTCAAACAAATACCTGATAAAGATAAAGATAAACATGCCTTCATAACCTTTGACGTGTGCGACTTCTACCCATCAATAACAGAAAAACTACTCAAAAAGGCTCTTAACTACGCATCACAATTTACAAACATAACTGATCAAGACAAAGACATAATTATACACGCTAAAAGATCACTTCTACACCACGACAATGCACCATGGACGAAAAAAGACACAGTTAACATGTTTGACGTTACAATGGGATCCTATGACGGCGCCGAAACATGCGAACTGATTGGCCTTTACGTGCTATCGCTAGTCACGCCAATTTTACACGACAAAGTAGGACTCTACCGCGACGATGGATTGATAGCGTGTAAAGCGACACCCAAGCAAATAGACAGAATTAAAAAGAAAGTCACGAAAATCTTCAAAGACAACGACTTAAATATAACAATAGACGCTAACAAAAAAATTGTTAATTTTTTAGATGTAACATATAGCCCATACATGAAACCTAATAACAAACTTTTATACGTTCACRAACAAAGTAATCACCCACCAACATTACTAAAGAATATACCTGCTAACATTAATAACAGACTCTCTAATATTGCATCTAACCAAGACGTATTCAACGAAACTATCAAATCTTACCAAGAAGCTATAAATAACAGCGGATATGACCATCAACTAACATTCAAAACAAACTCTGATAACAAAAAAACGGAATAGAAAAAGAAACATAAGGGACTGTTCATTAAATATGCCTCAGGGTGGTCTGG